CATATTTGATTGGGATTGTATCTTGAGAAAGAAAAATTAGGTTTTTTTCTTATATTTAATTTATATTTGAATAACAAGTCTATTGTAACTATTAGGATGAACAAAGAATCATTTAAGACATTTTTTGCCACTGATGTGATTTTCCTGACTAAACTGTAGCACATTAGTACATTTCATGTGTGAGTTTTTCAGATCATCATTTAGTGTCACCTTATAAAATTATTCATCAGTTTTCCCCAAACCTCTCTCAATCCTTTGTTATTTTGATTATTTCCTTTTAAATGGTGTTATCCTTGTTGACCTCTCACCTTTAGCTGTTAAATGGCAAGACTTGAAATTTTTTAAATTTGGTAATGATTGTTCTTGTGATTTAAGCAATCTCCAGTGTCATTCTCATTAACTTCATGAAATTTTGCATATCGTACTAGAAATTCAATATCTTTAAAAAATACTTTGTATTCTATTTGCCTTATAGACCAGTACTCAATGAAAGTCTCTCAGACAAAAATGAACTAAATAGCTGTGATGAATAATGTTAATTAGTAGGAATGTTTGAGCAGAGAATAACCTTATAAATGATCTGCTCATTGTGTATAATTTTATATTATTCTTCCCATACAGCATTGGACAATAAACTCTATGATGAGAATCGCCTCCTCAATGAGTATGCTGCATTGGCCTACTTCCCTGCCTATTTTTTCCTTGGTGTTCTTCCAAGGGTCTCTGAATATGATTGTACAGTTTGTGTCTGCAAAACGGTGCCCAGTGAGGCCATTGGACAAATGTTTCTTTCACTAAATCCAGCAAGAGCTGCATCTCCTTGAAGAAGAGATCCCTTTACTTGGCACAAAGTTCATGTCTACCTGTGGCATGCCTTTAAAAAAATATAACTAAGGCATTCCATAGGTTAAAGTTTCCCTGGTCCCATTATTCTTTTCTTGCTGACTTCTCTTCAGCCATGCAGTCCATCTTGCAGATTCTGCTGCTGTCCACGCAAATGGTTCATCAGGGCCTTGTGCTTGTTGCTATTTCTTCCACATGAGGGGCTCCTGATGAAAATGTTCATTGGCTCTCTTGTTCACATCATTGAGGTCTCTGCTCAAGGATCTGCTTCTCAGAAGGGTATTCTTTAATCACCAGCTGAAATATCATCGTTCATCATGTTCTATCCCCTGCACTTCTCTATTTTTCTTCTTGGCGCTGCTTTCCTTTTTTCTTTCTTTCTCCATAGTGTTGACATTATACTACATGTTTGGTTATGGCACCTAGAAGAATGCTCAACTAATATTTCTTGAATGAATGAATAATTTTGTAAACCATCAACTAACCTTAACTTCAACTCTCCAGGTTGAAGGAGAAGACAACTTGTTATTCAGAAGCTTTAGAGTTGTATGGGGATCTGTTTGTATTTAGCAGCTTCATGGTTTGGTCTAACAAGGTTTTTTGTTTGTTGTTTTAAAAAATGTTGTTTTATTCAGAAATTACTGTGTATGTTAGGGAAGTCTACCATCAATTTTAGCCAATTGACCACCATCTAATATTAAGAAATTTTATGTAGTTTCTTGTACCCAATAAGGATTATAGAGTCACCTACTGCCATGCCCTCAAAGAAAGCCAAGTGTGACTTGACTTGTAATGAAACACTCTGATCTGTGGTTTCATTTTGCCCATTGGTGGTGGCCTGTGATGACCAAGTAGCATGATGTACCAGTGGGACCTTGCAGAAGATATGCTGACATAGCAGTCAAGGGACTTTTTATCTGTTTGGGATTTCAGAGCAGAGTGCTTCCTGGACAACTTAATGAAGCTACTTAGAGATGAGCATTAGTTTTTCAAAATTAAAGAATAAATGAAATCCTACAAAAAGTTAAAAGAATAATAGAAGGAATATACATATATGTTTCCTTTAAGTGTTCTGATGTTTATCAGTTTGCCGCAGTTACTTTAAAATCTCTATCAATACATGCCTCTTTCATTTATACCTTTTTTTGCTGAAATATTTGAAATTAAGTTACAAACATAATGATATTTTACTCTAAATAGTTCAACAATCATAAGAATAAGGACATCCTTTTAAATGAACACAATATCATTTACATAGCTAAGATGTTGAAGAGCATCAGAGTAATATCTATTACCCAGTCTTTTTCTTTTTTTAAATATATTTTATTGATGTTTTACAGAGAGGAAGGGAGAGGCATAGAGAGTTAGAAACATCGATGAGAGAGAAACATCGATCAGCTGCCTCCTGCACACCCCCAACTGGGGATTTGCCTGCAACCCAGGTACATGCCCTTGACCAGAATCGAACCTGGGACCTTTCAGTCCACAGGCCGATGCTCTATCCACTGAGCCAAACCAGTTAGGGCATCTATTACCCAGTCTTATTCAAATTTCTCCAATAGTGCTACATATGTCACTTATAGTTGTATGACTATGGATTTTATTTACTTATTTTATTTAGCATCTAATCAAGGATCCCAATTTTAGGTGTCATGTCTTCTAAGTGTCCTCTCTTTAAAAAAAAAATTGCTTTTTAAATATGCTTTTTAATTGATTTTTGGAGAGTAACATCAATCATGACAGAGAATCGTTGATTAGCTGACTCCCGCAGGCCTCCTACTGAGGACTGAGCCCAGAGCCTGGGCATGTGGCCTGACCAGGAATCGAACAGGTGAACTCTTGGTTCCTGGATGGACACTCAACCACTCAGTCACACTGGCCAGCACTTAGAGTCCTTTTAATCTGTTACCTATCTCTTTGCTTTTGCTTTGTCCTCACCCCCTTGCCCTTCTTGAACCTTTAATAACTGGACAAGTTTGTCAAATCCAGGTCAAAATTTTTTGTAAAAAATTCTACAATTTGGACTTGTTTTTCTCATGACTAGTTTCAGGTTAAATATTTTTGTAGGAATACATCATAGTCATGGGTGGTATTGTATACTTCCTGTATGAAGATACATAGTTCTTATGTGTCCTATTGCTGGTGATGCTAACTTCGATCTTAATCTCTTGATTATGTTATTTTTCTTCATAATTAATAAATAGCTTGTGGGTGAAACTTTGAGAATGTGGGAATCCTTGTACCCTATGTTTTTAGCATCATTTGGTGATGCTTGCTTAAATCAATTTTTACATTGTTTGCAAAATGGTGATTTCCAAATTTTATCATGTCTTCTACATACAATAACTAGCATTCTTTTGTGTCAAAGAACTTTTCCTCCTTTCCACCCCGCATACATTTGATTGGATCTTTAAATAATACATTTTCATTTTCTTTAGAAAAAAAAAATATTCTAATTGTCTCAAATTTGGCTTGTTGGGTCTTTTAAACTTGCCCCTATATTTCTTGTTATATCCCCATTGAGTGTTTCTTGCTTTCTGACACTGTAAGAACATTTACTCTCACCACTGATTTTACTTGCTCAGCCATTTCTCCAAGGAACTCTACTTCCTTTATGTAGAGGATGGTATTTAGAAACTAGGATCTTGGTCCTAGATGAGCAAATTGATATTAGGATAGGCATGAGCAATTTCTACTTCTATTACATGCAGTCCACTTCTATCCTTCTTACTCATGTTCCTACTAGTACTTGTTTAATTTTGGATTTTATACAACTAGAGAATTTCCATCCTTTGCATTTAATTTAATTCAGCTAAGTATTTAATTTCAAATACTGCCACCTAAAATTCAATTTTATTCCTAAGAATTGGCAGAAAATGAAAATCGCTCTCTCTTTATCTGACAGCATGAGATCTCTAAAGTTTCATACTTCATTCAAGACTTAGTCACCTCTGTTTGTCTTTCATTTGATTTTTACAGATGTTCTGAAGCTTCCAAAATAAATAGAGATTTTCAGTGAACCACAATATCTGGAAGATAAAGCAAGTGCTTACCAGTTTGCTTTGCCATCTGTTCTGTTTTAGATTGGATAAATACATATTCAATCCCCCCACACAGCATGCATGTGTCACATACCTGTGGTGACTGGCTCTGATTCCATATGGTTGATTCTGATTATTTCATTACAATTGTTCAGATTTATAAACCCAGCAATTAAATAAACTCAGACATGTTAATACCTATGTAGCCCTTAATAACATGCCTCCAAAATAGTGTGGGAGATTTTACAAGACATTGTTTCATTGAAGGGACTATTATTAATTTAACAGAACATGTTATTCATGCATATTATTTTCAAAAGTTTATTTCTTTTTATATTTGTCAAGCCTTCATTTTAAAATAGATTAACTATACTGTATTTTGATTGTTCCAAAAGTGATGATGGTGAAAAGCAACAATACAAATCCCAGCTATTTTTTTCTACCAATGTTTCCATGCAGAGATTAAGAGTGTCTGTGACTGGTTTCTAGAGTGATAATTTCAATTGGCTCAAGTCCATTAACTGCAGGGAAAAACACCTGGCAAGGCGGTTGGTAGCAGCCCATTCTTGTTAACCTTTCAGCCTTCACAATAACTATCAGCAGGCACAGAGTCAGGTCCTCTAATAAGCTGGCATTAGAGCTGCTGACAGCTAATAAATAACATTATATGGGTTTCTAGGACTAAATAAAAGAAAATATTCTGATTAATTGGAATGAAAAATTTTCAAATTTCATAACCTTAGAATTGAATAATTTTCAGACATAGAAAATAAAATAAAGATCGATATGACCTCTTAGAAGACATATTTCTATGAATAAAATAGATTTTCAGAGTATATTATTTTGGCTACTTTAATCCAGTTTAATTTTCTGTTACTTACACTGCTCTTTTATTTTTAGTAAAAGGGAAAATAGCTAAGAAGTGGAAAACTTACAGTACCAACTCTAGAAGTAAAGCTTTAACTAGATTCTTCACACCTGTAAAATCATTTCTGCTAGGGAATTAGAGAAGCCTTTTAATCCCCTATAAATGTGGGAGATTAGACCTCAGTCCTGCAGGAGGAGCTGAAGAAGAGTATTTAAGAGCTTCACCACTGCCTTCTTTTTGCCTTGCAGGTGGAGTAAATCTATAAAGAGAACCTGTTTACCACTGGTTATGTGGGAGCTGAGATGGACATGAAGAGCCACAGGAGAAGACCAGAGCGGGAGAGTCACTAGAACAACTACGGTCCTGCAAAAGGTAGCCAGTTTGCATATAGGAAGCAAGATTCTAGAGGAACAAATTCAAGTAAGGTTCCCACTTTCTTGGCATGCAGGGAGCTTTGAAAGTAAAACAAAATTTTTTTCAAGGATGTAAATATTTACTAATTGGATAAATGTAGTAGGAAAATATGTTGAGATATTAACTATAATTCTTTATAGTGTATGGCCTTTTGTACTAGAGAAGGCAGCTACATGTTTCACATTAATGTTTCAGGGAATGGATATAACCAATATCAGAAGTGAAGAGAGAAAAGAACAAGAACTTTTGAAGGGATATTAGAAAGAACCTTTGAACTCCTCATTGGGAAGAAGGGCCTCTGGATCTTCCAAAGTTTGAGGTTTAAAAAGTCAAACAATGGAACTGGAAGGCCATGATAGACGGAATCAGTATTTTTCCATACTTAGTGATTCGATGAAATCTACTAAGAAGGACGGGATAATCAGAGGATAAGCAAGAAAGTTTATGTATGGTGGGTCCCTTATTCCTTCTCTCTACCCTTGCTTGAAACTGGGGAGGCATTGACAGATGCCAGATCTCAGAGCAAAATCCATTTCCTCTTTCCTATTGAGAACCCAAACAAGTCCCGAGATCCAGACCACCCCTTGTTCTCAGCATCTTGTGGAAGCGAAAGGCCAGTTCATATGGCATGTCTGAGATGAGAGAACTTGAGCAGCCTCACAGAATTTGTCATAACTTATGGAGGCGAGGGAGGGAAGTTGGTTGTTTCCTGTGCCCCTGAGAGACTGCGTAAGTTCCAGAGAGAGAGGGAGTAAGAGCCAGACCTGGAGCATTCCTAGAGGAAGGAGCATGAGAAAATGCAGAGGTAATTTGCATTAGTTAGTGACTAGGATTAGATGGGAACATGCTCATATGCTAGATGAGAATGCAGACAAGAAGAGTTCATGAGTAAGTAGCAATTCCATCACTTCATTCACTAACATTGAGGCATGACCTAAGAACCCGCAGCTTATGACAAAACCTCTGGAATAAAAGGAAATGGTCCTGACTTGATTAAGACTTTATTTTCAACGCTTGATCCAATGGGAACACAAAATACAAAGTTAAGTTAAATTATAGAAAAATAAACAAATCTTCACTTTTTGTCCACCTGAGTTTTGTGGAATGGGATTCATACCCATTACATTTTATATTTAAGTTATTTGTGTGTCAGCTTTAATAAATTTTATTAGAGAGTTCCTGAAGGATAGTGGTTGCCTCTCTTTCTGATTTCCAGGCATCTTGAAAATGGTAGGGACTTCATAAATATTTGTTTAATAGTATTAAATAGCTTAAACCAAAACCTTCCTAGTAGCAAAGTTTCTTAGCAATTTCACTCATCCACTACATTGAGCTTGCTGCTCAGGTATTTATGCTCATTCAGTGAGTCATCAGACATAATCAGCTACAGTTAAACTCAGCTACTCCAACGACGGCATGGAAAAGATGCAAATATGAAGGTCCTAATGACTTGTGCACATAGATACCTAGTCTCAACATCGGATATCTCTCTACTTCTTCAAGTACTGTCTGCATTTGGTTTCCAGCAACTTACCTAGCCTTCTTCCTACATTGTTCACTACTACTCAATTTCTTTTGCTGGTTTCTCCTTCCTTGATCTTATTTAGTTTCCAGGCTATAATTTCCATTGTGTCTACTGATGATTCACATACTTATACACCTGGCCCACATTTCTTGCCTTAGCTCTAATTGCCCCCTTGACCTGTGCATCATGTCTAATAAGCTTCTAAAAGTTGCCATGTCTGAAACTGAGCTCCTGATATACTCCCCAAGCTGGCTCCTCCAGCAGTTTGCTGCTATCTCAATAAAGGAGAATCTCCTATTTCTAGTTTCTCAGTCCAAAACCAAAAGATGCAATCCTTTTTTTTTTTTCTCCACTTAAACCTCACTTCCAAATCCACAGGAAAATGTATTTGACTTTACCTTCAAATATATCCAAAATCTGACCATTCTCATCACATCTATTGATGTCACACAAATCAAAGCCCTCAGCATCTACTGCCTGAATTCTTGTAACAGTCTCCCAGCAGGCCTCTGTTTCTAACCTTGTCTTCCTACAGTCTATTATCAACACAGTAGCTGGAGTTACCCTTTTAAATTATAATCAGATAAGGTCACTCTGCACTCAAATTTTTCATGTCTTTCTAATTCAGGGTAAAACCCTCCATCCTCACTATAATTCTCTTGATGTGATCTGTTTTCATATGACCTCTCAACTTTCATTTCTCTCTTTTAAGACCTCAGCCACTCTGGCTTCCTTGTCCTTTCTCATACATATTTGATATATTTTAAAGACCAGTCCTCTGTACTAGCTGCTCTCACAGCTTAAAATGTTATTCCCTATTATATTGACACTAGAGGCCTGGTGCACAGATTCGTGCACCAGTGGGGTCCTTTGGCCTGGCCTGCGGGGATTGGGCTGAAACTGGCTCTCCAACATCCCCCAAGGGGTTCCAGATTGTGAGAGGTTGGTTCTCAGGTGACCCACCCCAGAAATTGACCACAGCTCAGCTCAGCAGCTCCTGCATTGATCGTCTGCCCCTTGGTAGTCAGTGCACATCATAGCCACCGTCTGGTCAGTCAAAAGGTCTGATGGTCGCTTAGCCTTTTATATATACAGATTAGTGGCCTGGTGCACAAAATTCATGCATGGGGACGGAGCATTCCCTCAGCCCATCCTGCACCCTTTCCAATAGGGGACCCCTTGGGGGATGTCTGACTGCTGGTTTAGGCCTGATCCCACAGATATTGGGCCAACACCGGCGGTTGGACATCCCTCTTGCAATCTGGGACTGCTGGCTTCTAACGGCTCACCTGCCTGCCTGCCTGATCGCCCCTAACTGCCTCTGCCTGCCTGCCTGATTGCCCCTAACTGCCCTCCCCTGCCAGCCTAATCTCACCCCCAATTGCCCTCCCCTGCTGGCCTGGTTGCCCCTAACTGCCCTCCCCTGCTGGCCTGATCTCACCCCCAATGGCCCTCCCCTGCTGGCCTGATAGCCCCTAACTGCCTCTGCCTCAGCCCCCACCACCATGGCTTTGTCCGAAAGGAAGTCAGACATGTGGAAAATGGCCGGTCGACCTGTTCTAATTAGCATATTACCCTTTTATTAGTAAAGATAGATTATAAAGGATAGGATTGCTTAAATGGGGGGAGGGGGGAGCCTTTTTTAGCAGGAGGAGATGCTCTTGGCAGACAAAAACACATAATACCTATATCTGGACTTATAGCCAGCCATATGCACTGTATTGCCAAACCAGTCATTAAAAAATTGAACCACTTTCATACACCTTAAACCAAACAGCTGTTTCCCTTAAAACCCCTCCTCAGCCTCCACCTTAGGTTCTGCCTTCTCAGTTCACCCAGATTAGGTTCTGATTGGTCGGTTTCTCTGCCAGTCAGGGTCAAAAGCTCCGCCTCCTAGGCAGCCATTGGCTCCTGGCACTTCACCCAGATTTGGTTCTGATTGGTTGGTTTCTATGCCAGTCAGCATCTCTGGGCCTATCTCTGGGCCTTATCAAAGAGGCAGAGCTGATCAGCAGCCCCTGAGGAGGCCCAGAGAGAAACAGAGGCATGGCTGCTGGCGAAGCTGGGAGAGGAAGAGAAAGGCAACGGCTGATCAACAGTTGCAATGGAGGCTGGGGATCAGAGCCTGCTTCTCTCTCTGCAGGCCTCTCTCTGTGCCTGATCTGTAGCCCCCTTGGCAGTCAGTGCTGGGTCTCTGTGCTAGTGACCCAGCACTGACTTCCAGTGTTCGGTTGAGCCTTGGTTGTTATGGACCCTGACTCTTGGGGTTCCCTCAGCCCAGCCTGCACCCTCTCTAATCAGGGACCCAGTGGGGGATATCTGACTGCTGATTTAGCCCGATCCCTGTGGGGATTGAGAGAACAACCCTTTCACAATCTGGGACCGCTGGCTCTTAACCGCTCACCTGCCTGCCTGCCTGATTGCCCCTAACTGCCTCTTCCTGCCTGCCTAATCGCCCCTAACCTCTCTGCCTGTCTGCCTGATCACCCCTAACTGTCTCTGCCTGCCTGCCTGGTTGCCCCCAAATGCCCTCCCCTGCCAGCCTGATTGCCCCCAACTACCCTTCCCTTCTGGCCTGATCCCCCTAATTGACCTCCCCTGCCAGCCTGATCTCCCTAACTGCTCTCTCCTGCTGGCCTGATTGCCCCTAACTGCCTCTGCCTCAGCCCTGAGACCATGCCTTTGTCCAGAAGGATGTCTGGAAGGTCTCCTGGTCTAATTAGCATATTACTCTTTTATTAGTATAGATTTTGCAATAAGAAAGGCAAAAACCATTTTAAAAGAAAATTTGCTGTGGCTCATGTCTAAAGTTTATCAAATCTGAACCTTTACTATAAACCTCAGCCTTCCAATGAGGAATTCTTCAAATGCAACCTGAGCTGTGGACCCTGAGCAGGATACCTCTCTTCAAAGTTCCTTATCCGCCCCATCCCCTGCCTTGCCCCCAGCCCCTGGCCCATTATTTTTTCCAAGCAGACTCAGCATCTTGAAAGCCCAGTATTCTCATTCAGGAGCTGTTAGAGTGCAAGAATGCATTTTAAAGGATATTTCACAACCCAGAGCACTTTTTAAGTTTCTCAAAGATAAGTGGATGGTCACTGAACATGGATGCAAAATGCATTTTACACGAAAAAGGAGTTACTTAAATGTTATTTTTAGAAGATTTTTTCTCCTCATCAAAATAATACAGGATCATTAGTAGAAAATTTTAAAGAATAGTATAAAGAAAAAGAAACCACTTCTCTCCACTATCCCAGGTTAACCACTGTCAACATTTCAAAGTATTTCCTTTTGTCTTTTGTAAATTTATATATCCAAATACCTTTTTGAGGTGATACTATTTATTTATTTTAATATATTTTGTATTGACATCAGAGAGGAAGGGAGAGGAAGGGAGATAATAACATCAATGATGAGAAAGAATCATTGAGCAGCTGCATCCTACACACCCCCTACTGGGGATGGAGCCCACAACCAGGGCAGGTGCCTTGACAGGGAATCCATGCATGACCTCCTGGTTCATAGATGAATGTGCAAGCACTGAGCACGCAAGATGATACTATGTATTACGTGTGTATCCCTACTTGTTTTCTTTTAGTTATGGTGTATGTATTTCACTACATCTATAACCACATTTTTTCCCATTTATTAAGGCACTGTTTATTTTTCCCAGCTTTACTGAGAAATAATTGATATAACCACTGTATAAGTTTAAGGCAGACTGCACGATGGTTTGGTTTACATACATTGTGAAATGATTACCACAATGGGTTCAGCTAACGTAACAAACCAAAACTGAAATCTCTAATGTAATTTAAGTTAGCGCAGAGACAGCCAGCACCACCCGCTCAGGGACGACATTCACCTCCGTGTCACCACCAGGAAGCGGCTGGACGCCCACAGCAGCTGCTCCAGCGCATCCACGCTGATGCCATCCAGGAAGCAGCACAGCGGCTCCTCCGGCTCCAAGGCGCCCCCTGCTGCGCACAGCCCCTGGGTCAGGTCCGCAGTGGTGGGGCGCACTGCCTGTGGGGCCCCTGGCTGGCAGGCCGGGTCCTGTGGGAAGAAGACTCCGGCGGGAATCAAAAGCGAAAGCTGCCCCGTTGGGGGAAAGCAGAACCGCTGCAGCCTTGCCACCCCTCGGGCCAGCAGCTGAGTGGAGCTCAGCACCTTCCCTGGGCGCCCCCGCAGAGGCGGCCGGCCAGCCCGACCAGGAGATCATCCCGCCATCAGGCCCCACGCCCTGGTGGTGCCCGGACAGCTCACGGCCCCTGCGGGCAGCTCTCGGGGTGCGGGGAGAGAAGGTGCCTCTCAGGGCCCTTCACTTCGAGGATGGAGGGCGACGCCGCATGCGTTCTCCTCCTGGGGCCGGTATGTGAGCGAGACTCCACTGAGCAGAGATTTTTTGCCCGGCACTTCCATCGGATGGGATGCGATGGCCCCTGGGAGGCTGTGCCGTCCTGGTTCACAATGAGAAAGGTACTGTGCTGAGCGGTTTTCCAATCGGACCTTCCTCTTCCTTCCCCAGCACACTCCAAACCTACTCTGGCCGACCACCTCAACCCCGCAGACCCTTAAGACCTTCCTACCTATTTTGTTGGCTTTCCCCCATCAACCGTGCACCCAATTGTGTTGCCTAGGGGCGCCCCTAACCGCTCCCTGTAGGGTGGGGACAGCCAGGGGAGCGGCCATGGTGTTGCGGGAAAGCGGGCTGCGCCTTCCATCAGTGGCCAGCCAGGCACAGGCGCATGGAGGTGAAGTCTCTGCATTCGCTTTCCCACAGGCCTGAGCCAGAGCAGCCGGGGATGAGCTGGTGATAACCCAACGTCCTGCCACCCACACGGATTCCCCTGTTCACCATCACTGATCCATTGGAGCTTGTGGGGGAGGAGGTACCAAGAGGTCAGCAGTTCAGCCCCTGGCCAGCTGCCCCCCACACAAGCCTGCTGCGAGCACAGCCTGGGCGTTAGGTCAAGCCTTCGGTCCTTATGGATGTTACGGACCCTGGCTCTTTATATATATAGATAGTTAGTTCCCTTACTTCCTTCATAATTTTATTCAAAAGTCATCTTTTTAGTAAAACTTCCATTGCCACTACCTAGAATTTCAGTGCTGACCTTCATATTTCATAGGGCCTTTCTCTGTTTTATAAATTCTTCTTAGATATCATCATTTATTCAGATATATATTTTACTTATTTATCTTGTTTATTGTTTGTCTCCTGCTTGACAGTGTTTTGTTCACCACATGATATCTGGCCCTACAGTAGTGCTTGACATATGGTAAGTACTCCATAAATATTTGTTGAGAGATCATTTAGTAAATAAATGTGTATTTACTAAACTATTACCAGTTTCTTTTTTAGTTTCACTAATTCATGACCATATGAAATAAAACTATGCTACTAACAAAATTTCTTTACATGGATTTTGTTCTTTTTCATTACAAAACCCAGTGTTAAAAATGCTTCTGTAATGCAAGTTTGTATATGATAAAATATACTGTCTGAGTACAATGCTATCAGGAAAAACTCTGTTAGTAATTAACATAAAGGTTATTTTGCATCCTTGTAAATTGGTTCTTTATCCTAGAATGGTTTCTGGACCAAATAATAAAATAAGCATTATGTTTTGGAATAAAAGCTATGTTTTTGTATACAAACTTCTGTTTGCTTTGTTCTTTGTTTATGCTATTGTGTGTGTGTGTGTTTTTTAAACTAGAATTTTCAACATCCTCATTTTTATCCATGGAAAATCTACGTATTAACGGTGTGATATTTTAATACTTTGATAAATTGTTTTTTATGAATAAACTGATTTTTTATGTTCGCCATTATGGCATCAGGGAAGGAAAGAAGGACAATGATCTCTCTGAGAGGAGAGTTTGATGCTGGGGAGAAAGGTGATGGAATTTGAGATCTACCTTCCAATGCTTCAAAGCCCCAGAGTGGGGAAGAAGTTCACTGCGCGTGGAGACAGGAAAACTAAGGGCTGAGGGCTGTGGCCTTGCTTAGCATTTGGTACTCCACTAGGAAACCGATGTTCCAGGGCTCCTCTGGCCAACAGGCAGCAGCTCAGCACAGTCAATATGGTGGTGGTGCGCTATGGTGGTGGTGCGCTCTGCTGGAGAGAAGTTCTTGCTGACATGTGCATGCTGCTTTAGCTCCTGCATGGGCACTGGCTTAAGGGCCACAAAAGAACCTACTGTTAAGATGAAAGATATGGCAGTGACTCTGAGGGGTGTTCAAAATCAGGGAGCAGAGTGAAAGCTGAGTCAACTTGGACTGGCAAGGTATCAGGACAACCTGAGAAATTTAGGATCACAAGGACAGAGCCATAGAACAGGCTAACACTGGGTGAGTGATCCCCAGCTGACACACCCAATGGTGAGACTGAGGCTAGAAAGCCTCCCTCCCACAGTACTCAACGTCATCTAAGCTGCAATATACCAGGGGCCAGCAATTTGTAGCTCATAGACCAATATTGCCTGTTGCATGTTCTGTAAGAATGGTTGAAAAAAATCAGAATATTTTGTAACACTTGAATATGATATAAAAATCGCATTTCATATAAAGTATCCATAAATAAAGTTTGATTAGAACACAGCCATACTCATTTATTTACATCTTGTCTATTGTTGCTTTCTTGCTACAGTAGCAGGGTTGAGTAGTTGCAATAGAGACTGTATGGCAAATAAAACCTAAAGTAAACTGTCTGGCCATTTACAGATACAGTTTGCACACCCTTACAATATGTCATCTTAGAAACTAGCCTAAGGAGAAAGAAAGGATTCTGAAAAACTGAGGCATAACCTGAAAGAGACTGAATTAACCCCAAGAGATCACTAAATTTTTTAATTCACAAAATATAATTAGATTCGATAAAGATTAGGTTTAGCAAAGAATTTCTATGCCAATTCTTTCACATGTTCTTAAGTGGCTCAATGGGGCATTCTCAGGTACAGGGTGATTTCTAGACCCTCAGCAGACTCAGTGCAGATGTACTCGCACCTTTGATGGTACTTCACAAGTATCAAACACATAAAGAAGTTATTAGAACCCAAGTTTATGAAACCTCTAGGCAAAACTATAAAATAGCTGTTTTGTTTTTTATTCTTTCACTCTACTTCCAAGTCTGTTGGCAGCCCTATTTCCATCTTGCTAAGGTATCAGTCTCACTAAGGCTGTTTTATTGATGTCTTGTGTCATTTCCTCCCGGTTGACCTTCCTTATTGTCCACAAGAGGATGGAAACACCTCATTCATTTACACTGAAATATGAATATAGTGATAGTTATGAATATCTTTAATCTTTCAGATATATATTTCTTAAAGAATAGTTTATTGATTTTTAGAGAGAGAGGAAGGGAGAAGAGAGAAACATTGATGTGAGAGTGCAACATCAATTGGCTGCCTCCTGCATGCCCCCTCCTGGGTATTGAGCCTGCAACCTGGGCATGTACACTGACCAGGAATTGAACCAGTAACCTTTGATGCATAGGACGATGCCCAACTGAGCCACACTGGCCAGGACAAGTCTCCCAGATATTTTGAAAACAGTGGTTTGTTAATGCCAAGGAATAAATTCCTGATGGAAGAACTTAAGGGGTAATTTTGGTTATGTGCTTTTAGAATTTAAACTGTGGATTCATGCCAACATAATAGGTCAGTTTGTGAGGAATACATGTTTATATGTTATGTGTGATATTTTTCTTTCTTTGTTTTTAAAATTTACATTACTTCAATTTTAAAGGGGAGAAAATGAAAAAAGGTAAAAGTTAATGTTAACTTCAAAGCCTATTTTCTTAAATTAAGAATATGTTAAAAATCCTAACCACTACTTGACCCTATTTTCTATGTTTGAAATACATTTTTGTAAATGACCTAGTTGTTTGTTTTTTTTCCTTTTCTAAATAATTGCTGCGTTTCCTATACACAGGCCCTAAAGGCTTCAGCAACCTAGTCCTTTCTTTAAGCCACAAGGTTAAATGGCCCAATTTAGCTATGCCAGCGTTCTTCTTGGTAAAGTTAGCAACTCATTGTGCCGAGTTAACCTTGAAGTTATTTGATGTTAAATCAGTTTTACTTGGGAATGTTTTTTCACTCCCCTCCCCCCCCCCCAGCCAAGGTCCTTTTTATTCTGTCGTATAATTTGCTGCCAAATTAAATGATGCATTTAAATAAAATGACCAAAGATAATGACTATAACAAGGGAGAGACCAGAACAATTGCTGTTGTAATATCATTCCAATCTGAATGACCCTGCTGTGTTAGAGTCATGAAACAAGGGGTGTCAACTCATGGTAACCTGCCACTTTTTGTCAGCCAAATAATGGAAGTTTCTAGTGGATTGGCATTTAAAGAAAAGTTGACCAAAGAACAAGTATTTGTTATAATACAGGCTCAGGAATAACCACACATTAATTGGAAGTAGAGTATAAAATGTACTCAAGGTAATCATAAAACTGAATGACATTGAAAGTATATTTCTTACTAGAACTTACGTAGCATGGTAAAATAATGACGAAGAACACTTGTGTGCACCAAACTGTCCTGGCTACAAGTGTGGTGAAGGATAAGGGAGGCAGAGGTGGAGGTGGGTGGAGATGAACTTATGGGAGGAAAATGGGCAACATCTGCAATAGTGCCAATATTGAAAATTTTAAATAATAATAAAAAATTAAAAATGAAAGCAATTGGCAAGACATCTTTCAAAGACAATTATATTTATAAATTTAGAAATTGAATTTTTGTGGTGAAAAAGCAGTTGCAGAGCTTCCAGACTAATGACAACCTTAGAAGAATATCCTTTCTTCCTTCCTCCTTCCGTCCTTCTTTCCTTACTTTTTTCCTTCCTAAAGTGAGAAGATGCTGGAGGGTATTGTTATTTGCCTCACTTGCACAAAGGGAACTTGTATAACTTTACTTTTATCTTTCAGGTATCAGAATTTAGCACCTATATATACTTGATTTAAATTAATTAATCTCTAATACAAATGGACTATATTTTACAACTCCTTTCTGTCACTTTTTTTCCCTGCACTTTTTTTAATGCATCATTATTAGATGTTTTGTTTCATAAGTAAAAAGATTTGCTTTTTAAAAATTTGACTTTCTGTGTACTTTCTTAATTTATTTTTAAGTAGGAAGTCTCATAATTTCCTTTATAGCTTCTTTTTTTCCTCATATGATATATCATATGATATTAATGCCTTAGTTTATGGACTTTACTTCATGAATATGAGTCTATTGAGACTAGATTTTGATTTTGTTATTCTTATATGTCCTTGGATTCTTTTCCACAAGGTCAATATTTTTGTTTTATAATCAGAGGCCAAATTTAAAGTTCACCATCTGTTTATCAAAATTCATCAAATAATCAGTTTGCATGCCCTATGCCAATTATATACCCTTTTCTCAGTAATAGTATATATAATTTTCTGCCATCTATCTGTAATATCAATCCTGTATTCTGTAGGGAAAGAAAAAATAATTTTCCTAAGTTCTTGGCCTGGTGTCCCTGTAACAAAAGAGAGATTACCAAGAGAAAACAAACAGAAGTTTATTAACAGGTATAACCTGTATACATGGACAATAATCCAGGGAAAAATGAGTGACTCTCAGATGTGGTTTAGAATTCAGGCTTAAATACCATGTTTAGTTAAAGGCAAAAGTGGGGAGGGTGTGAGGGAGGCAAGTTGCAGGGAGATGACCAGGAAAAGTATGGTAAACAAGTGTAAGCTTTGTTATATAGATTTAAGTTGGTGCCTTTTCCATTGATAAGTGTTTCTAGTGAATCGTGCTTTTTTTCTTGGACAAAATTGAAGATTTCCTCCTTTGGGAACCCATGAGAAGGCAGGATTCTTTGGAAAAGACAATGATGCTGGGAAAAATAGAAGGCACAGGAAAAGAGGAAGACCAAATATGAAGATAGATTGACTTTATAGAAGCCGCAGGTGGGAGTCTGCGGGGGCTGAGCAGGGCTGTTGACAGAACATTGTGAACATCACTCATTCATAAGGTCACCAGGAGGCAGAGGACCCAACAGCATGTAACACACACACACACCCTTACACACAGAGGCTTCCTTTATAAATGTAAATTTTCCTTACAAACTAGTAACTTCTACTTCATTTTCAGAATTCCTCCTGTGTCTGCTATTTCTCAAAATAATCAGCTCAAAATAATTCAATTTAAAAGAGACATATTTTAGGGTGGCATATTCTGCCACTCTTCAGTCCTTTTCAGTTTTGATATTTGTGATTCTTAATTTTATAATTAAAGGAAAAAACTTGAAGTATTTTCAATAAAATTTAAAAAGTTTATGAGGAAAAAAATAGGATATTTGAAAAAAATGGACTTTAAAGATTTATTAGTAACTACTAGTGAGTGGCAACTAAATGTCAGAAAAACATACAAGAAAACATCCAACTCTTCCTTCTTTTATTTGGGGCTCCTCCCCTTGCATTTGACAGTGTTTTCGATCTTGTTTAGATTACCAAAACAAAATTCAACACAGCTCTGTTCTAATTTTAGTACTGCTGATTGACTCTGATTTCTAAAATGCCCCTACCCTTTCCTTAGATTGCACTATTTTGATTCTCTTTCTATCTCTCTTAAGTTTTTCCATGTCTTTGTCTTCCCTCTTAAATCAGTATTTGTTGCAGTAATATATAGAAATGTTTAGAAATGCTTTAAAAATGCCTGAAAAATATTAAGAAGGTTTTAAAATGTTTTCCTTGAAACTTAAAGTGTGATATTAAGGACACATTCCGCACTGCCCACATTCCGCATGTGTCCCTCATAGATAAGGATTTGAACTTCAGTTCTGACTCAGAGTGACTTGCTAAGATAACCATTTGAGTGAGTGATGTACTCTCCCTAGATAACCACACGTAGCCCCTTGCCCTGTTTGAGATTAACATGTGTGCACTGACGTAATTCATTGATAGCCACCTGAACTGCTGAGGGTGCGGTACAGGCTTTAAAAATGGGGGTCCTGACCAGAACGGTGCTCGCCTGTTGAGACAGCCACAAAGGCACGTCCTCTTGTCAGTTTGGCAAGTGATGCTGCTCCACGCTCCTCTCTCAGCCAGAAGTACAGCCAGTACCTCCCTTTTGAGATGCAACCGAGCTCTTGGGTGAGGAACGCTAGCCCCCCGTATCCGGACCGGACCAGCCCAGCTGCTGGATCCCAGAGGACAGCACTACTGGGATCCCCAATAAGCCTATACCGGCAGCACCAGGAACTGTGTGAGTAATAAAGTGCTGTGTGATTTGCAGCTGCATATGTTTCATGTGGTGTAATTACTCCAGCAGTTAATTGAATTATTTTGCATAAGCTTAAAATTAAAATTAAAGCTTCTGGTCTTTTCGGTCCTAGGCCTGCCCTTGGTTCTGCTTGCGTAGAGTAGCCTCTTTGCTAGTAACTACTTGAATGTCCCACACCTGCACGGTTAAAGTTTATCTCAAGGGACGCCTTAGATAAACACCCCAGATCCTTTCCCAGGATCTACTTGGGACAGTATTTCTCCAAGTATGATTCTTAGTTCATTTGTATGCTTAATAATTATTAGAATAGGATTCCTATTAAATATGCAGATTTTTTATCCCAGGCCTGGCATCCTAGGGAGAAATCTCCTAATGGTGGAGTCCAAGAATCTGCCTTGTTTCTCTGAATGCATTTCACTCACAGTAAAGTGAGACCTGTTACTTTAAATCATGGGCTATTTCAGGATTCTTCCACATTTCTGCCTTAGTCACACTAAAATTCTCCCTATTGTCCAAAAATTCATTGAACCTATCCAGGCTTCAATGCTTGTGTCCATTCCAATCTCACTCTCGAGTCTCAGACTTCTATCTCTCCTTGGAGGGCTCACAAAACTTCAAATTCCCCTTGAACCCGGTCTGCGCCCTGCCTTCCCTCTTGCAGTGATTGACATCACTTACATCTACACAGTTGCCAGAACAAGCAATTGGGAGGTAATCCTAATTTTTGTCTTTTCCCCTACATTTATTCACTGTCAGGCTTCTATTTATTTTGCTTTCTAACTATTTGTACATTCCATCCAATTCTCTCCATTACTACTGTTATCATTGAACAAAATTATTATAATAGTAATTTCAATGTTTCCGCAGACCCTAACAATGTCCCATGTATGTCCCTCTCAGGTCTTAACCTAATCACTTCTCTAATTAAAAGCTTTCAGAAGCTCTCATTGATTTTTTTCTTTTAAAAATATAAAATATAAACTCCTTTGTGTGGCTTACAGTGCCCTTCATGATCTGATCATTGCCTATCTCTCCAATTTATTTTTTACTATTCCCAGCATTATGCTTTATAATTTGGTCATACTAAGTTTCTTATATTTTCTTTAAGCTTCCATACTGTTTCTTGCCTTTGGGCATTTATGTAGAATATTCTTTCTGCCTAGACTCCTATTCCCTACCCTCTTTACTCTGATAGTTTCTACTTAACATTTATGTCTCATCTCTTCTGGAATGCTTTTTCCTCACCTCTGGAGTGGGCACAGCATCACAACAGTTTCATAAATGAGAAAGAAGAAAAGATGTTACTGATACTGTTATAACTTGGTTATTAAATAACAGGAAATAAATAAAGGGAACACTAAATAATGTAGACATGCCATTTATATAGCTTTGCCAGAAAGCTACAGTCTGTTCTCTGAGTCTGTTCCCTACAGATCACTGTGGGGAGGGGCTGGACAATAGATGAGTCTGGGTGATGTAGGAAGATGAGTAGCTGTCAGTCATATCTGGGAACAAGTCAGAGGCCAAAATAGGTGTGGCCACTGCAAATGTGGGAAGATCTGGACAAAGGGACTTTTCTCTCTCTTGCTTTCACCTCTCCTGCTTGCCTGTACTCCTGGGTCTGCTGTTGCAGGGGGCGTACTCCCTTGCACTTGCCCATGTGGCCAACAGCTATAAGGGACCCACACAATGGACTGATGGACTGAATCTAGCCTGATGCTACATTGGACTCAACTTCACCATGAAAACAGAGACTCTGGACACTGCTCCTGCTTTTAGCTCTATTAAGCCCCCAGCTGTACATTTTCCAGGACTGGGTTGCAGACAATGGGATTTTACACACCAAGGGATGTAATTCAATGCAAATAAAATCCATTCATTCTCCTGTGGCAGTCTTAGAAAATTCACTTTCTAAAGATATCACTAGAACTCCACTTCCACTAATGTCGGGGAAATTGTACTCACTGATTTCTCCAGTAACAGCACCAGGCAGCACTACTCTAACATTTTATTTCTTTCACAGTGTTTTACAGAATTGGGTCAAATAGTTACTGGTAGCTGCAAGGGAGGCTGGGAATGAAAGTATCTTTCAAAAAACATGAGACATCAAGTTTAGTTTACACAGATCATGATTCATCACTCAAACCAGAGGTATTATCTTTTTTTTTTTTTTTAGCCTGCAAACCGAGTCTTTACTTTATAGCCAGATTCCATGAGGCAAAGTAAGGGTGTGGCCAAGATGTTTACAATGTTCTCATGGGTTTTGAATCTACTCAATTACATGCACCTGATCAAGCTTTGTTTACTTGCTGCACCTCCTGCAGCCCATATCACTAGTCACGTGGGAGCCCCTTTCCACACCACTTCAGACGCATTTCTGGATTTTAAGAAATAAACAATACACTTTTATTTATTCAACAACTATTGGTCATTAGAAACGTGTCAGCCACTTTCTCGGGCACATTCCCGGGGTTGTGGGCTTCATCCCCAGTGGGGGGCATGCAGGAAGCAGGTGATCAATGACTCTCTCGTCATTGATGTTTCTCTCCCTCTCCCTTCCTCCCTGAAATCAACAAAAGTATAAAACAAAGTAAATAACATAAAATAAATATATCTACACACACACATTACAGGGAGGAAGCTCCGGGCGTGGAGGCCCTGGATATGGAGGCCCTGGGCACGGAGTCCCTGGGCATAGAGTCTCTGAACGTGGAGCCCCCGGACGTGGTGTCCCCGGGCGTGGAGGCCCCAGATTCGGAGGCCTTCCTCTGGTGCATCCGCAGGTGGCGGTGGTAGGTGGAGGCCTGGCGGTAGGTCCTCCCGCACTGAGCGCACGCGTAGGGCTTGGCGCCCGTGTGGATGCGCTCGTGCGCCAGCAGGTTGGTCCGGTGGCTGAAGGCGCGGTCGCAGCGGCTGCAGCGGAAGGGCTTCTCCTTCGCGTGGATCAGCTCGTGCACGCGCAGGTCCGAGGCCTGGAAGAAGCCTTTGCCGCACGTGGCGCAAGCGAAGGGCCGCTCGTTGTTGTGCCTCCTCTGGTGCAGCTGGAACCGACAGAGGTACCTGAAAACCTGGGGACACTGGTCGCACCGGTACAGCTTCCGGGCGCCCCCCACCTCCCGGGGCGCCTCCTCCCGGGGAGGCTCTTCCTGGGCAGTGGGGGCGCCCGGACTTGCTGAACCGGAGCTGCGTGGACTCTCCCCGGACACTTTGCTCTCTGCGGGGCCCTGAGGACTCTCTTCCTCCGGGATGAGCATAAAGGGGGGTTGGTGGTCTGGACTGGAAAGGTTGTCGCCATCTTCATCTGCATCTCCTGGTGCTGCTGGTCGGGGTGTCTCTGGGGGAGTCGGGGAGGGGGTCCCCCTGGCGGCGGCTGCTGAGCGCTGCTCCTGGAGGTGGGCCAGGACCTGTCCTATGGGCATGTTCTCTGAGAACAGGGCTTCCTGCTCCTCCATGCTGACATGGACCATGCTAGGGGACCTCAGTTCCTCATCCCCCAGGTGCTCTATGAACGCCTCCATGTCTCTGCCACTGGACTCCCACTTTTCCTGCCAGGCGGCCCTCTCGCTGCTGGGCCTGTTGAGCACGAACTGCTCCACTGACAGTTGGTAAATCATCTCCTGCTTACTGTGCTTGTCTGGCTGCAGCCACGAGCAGAAAGACCAAAAGATGCCCCGCAGCTCCACCGTCCCGTGCCCGTGGCTGCCGTTGTTCAATGAGATGAGCCCAGGGCTGGGGAAGCCGACCTCCTCCGCCTCCTCTCCCTCCTGGTTGACGGGTCCTCCGCGAGATCGAAGCGTGAAGTTTCCTGCCCCCGGACCGTTCCTGGCTGGTTCGTCTTGAGATGCCATTCTCCTCACGGACACAGACGTTCACGCTAGGTGATCCTGGCCCAACGCTGAGCTGCTGTGGGGCTTGGCTGTCAGTGATGGTGGCTCTGATGTGCTTCCCAAGGCTCCTGCCTTTTAAACGGCCCGCGGTCCGAAATGAGATTAAAGCCTGTGATGGGATAAACTCAGCCTGTGAGGGTTGTCTGGTGGCATCTAGGCCTCCAGGCTCCATCTCTAACACCGGGTCTACACCCTCTGGGCAGGAGCCAGGGGCCATCCTCACACACACTCCTTGTCTGCAGGGCCATCGGACCTTCTCACTAAGGGGCATACAAAGGTGAGCGTCGTCTCATGGACATTCTGGTCAGGGTTGGTCATAAGCGAGTCTCCCACAGATATGGAGAGAGAGAGAGAGAGAGAGAGAGAGAGAGAGAGAGAGAGAGAGAGAGAGAGAGAGAGAGAGAGAGAGAGAGAGAGAGAGAGAGAGAGAGAGAGAGAGAGAACGCAGAGAAAGAGAGAGAGAGCACAGAGAGACTCCTGCCTCAGCCACTGAGCCATACAGGCCCAGCTCCTACTAATTTCCTAATCCTATCTTTCTTGATAACAGATCAAGAAAGAAGGTGAAATAGTCTAAGTCAGCGGTCTTAAGCTTTAATTATGTTCAATTTGTAACAATGAAAATACATCCTGCATATCAGATATTTACATTACGATTCATAACAGTAGCAAAATTACAGTTATGAAGTAGCAACGAAAATAATTTTATGGTTGGGGGGGTCACAACATGAGGACCTGTATTTAAGAGTCTCGGCATTAGGAAGGTTGAGAACCACTGGTCTAAGAGGAAGAGATTAACAAGGTTTACCAGCTTTCTCTTACAGACTGACACCCCTAGGGAATGGCCAAGCAGGCTTACTTCTTAATCCAGCCCTAGTCATTACCTCTCCACCCCAATCAACACCACCTGCCCCCACTCACACCCCTTTCCTCATAACCTCAGGAATTTTCCAAAGTAAAATGCTGTTTCCAAAGTAAGATGCAAATGACTACAGGGCTCTCCCAGTCAAGGTTAATGTCTAGGCATCTTCTTTTTGTTGCCTCTTAAGGGAGTCTCTTGCAACTTTGCATGCTACTTGTTTCTGGAACTGGAGAAACACAAACAAAAGGATTAATTTGGCTAGTGCTCCAGAGAATTTGGAAGGCAAACAACTGCTTTCTTCTTCTTCTTCTTTTTTTTTTTTTCTTTTTGTCAATATGGCAATTAAGAGGGGGAGATTAAAGAAAGAAAAATAAATGCAGTTTTCATTTCTACAGTAGACTGATAGGCTGGTGAATCGCTGAAAAGGTAATGAGCACCAGAATAGTTTTGGATTAACATATCCAGTTCAGGGATAAAAGTCTCTCTTCCCTCAATTACTTTCTCCCCAAAGTACCCAAACATGGCATAGACCAAAGCTTGCCAATTTAGATTGAGAATTTGTGTTCATAAGATTGTGTATAAAAAATGTTTTTATACTAGAGACAGAAATCTGCATAAAAATTTGGTTGCAAGTAAAATCAGGTTTTGTTTTTTTCAGTCAGCAGTGTTACTTTTGATTTTGTTGTGGATGAGAAAAATATAAATATGTGAATAAAAAAAGGGGGCTCTGTGGAAAGTAGCCTCACAGGGTGATCTGATCTTAAATTCTTAAATGGGCAGTTCAAGGTGGGTACTCACACCCCAGGCATATAATTTATTTAGTAAAAGGCTTATCTTTGCCTTAAGCAAGCCCTGCCTATTGTTTTTGTGCATCCAGGTGAAAACACCTTTGAGATGACTCTTTTCAGACCCCTCCTTCTAATGCATGAACCGTCCTTCTAGACCCTTCCTTGCAAGGGAGTACATAATCTTAACTATTTTATAATCCAATCCTAGCCTTTCTTTGTTCCACCTTCCTGTAATCTTCCTTATGTCCCCTCCTTAACATTAGATGCATAAAAGAAACTGCAAAAACTGAGAATTTGAGATCTTGTTCCCTGGCATGCATCATCAGTTTGGCTCAAATAAACTCATAGAAATTCTTTACAGGTCTGGATGTTTCTTAAATTGACAAATATATAGTCAGATTATTAGAGCAAATGATCCAATAGGAATATTCGTAGTTGTTATGAAATCATAGTCTCAAAGAGTAAATACTAATTCTAGCTCGGTTATCAATTTACCTGTCAGTGATTTTGGCAAATTGCTTCATCTTTCTGACACTGTTTATGTTTTAAAGAGTGATGGTGCTCCTGTCACATTGGGTTGTTAAAGCCTCTCGTCCTTCATTGTACCCCCTATTCCTATCTTACTGCCTGACACATGAGAGACTCTCAGAAAATAATCATTGAATAGAATATAGAATTAAAAATCAAATAAAATATGTATATAAAAGTATTGTTGTAACTGCATAGAAACTTCATCCTTACTTTTTCTTCTTTCTTTCCTTTTGATTCAAACTGGCCTCATCCAACTCCCTTATTCTATGGAAATGTACCTTCTGCAGCTCTGAGCCCTATGCTTTTTCCATGGACCCCCTAAGTCCTAAAATTTCCTAAGCCTGCCTATTTTACTCCCCAAAACTCCTTTCAATGTCTGATGTCTCATCCATAACCAGGTGGTTCAGCTTTGTCTTTCTGAGGAAGAAGTCCAGCTTCTGTGGCCACAGGCCCTCACTTCTGCCAACTGGGCCTGGGGGGGTCAGAACCCAGGCCTGCAGTACCATCACCCAGAACCTAAGTGATACGGAATTTTTGGACTGGAACCCGGATTCTTTGTCTGCCGGAGTCGAAGAATGAACCCACGGACAGAGGGTAGTAGAGCAAAGGTGGAGGTTTATTGACGAACAAGTACAGATTCCCACGTGGGGAGGGGGAAGAGTCCCACAGAACTGACTCCCACGAAAGGAGGGGGAAAGGGTCCCACTGAGTTCTTTTTCCCTATGGCTTATAAAGGCTGCAGATCCTGGTGCCTTGATATCCCCTCTGATTGGTCACTATTCCCTTAGACTGGTTACTATGGTTTCTCTAAGCATTTCTTGGTTTTTCTCTGGTCTTCTGTAACAGGGGAGCCAGGTGTTTGAGCATGGGCCACTTCCTGAAATACATTCTTACTTTCTTTACTGTGAGCTTCTGTTTATGTCGTATTGGGCTTTATGTACACAGGCAAACAGACCTATTTAGTCCAGTAACATAGTGAATGACTACACAAATGTAAACATTATTAGTTTTTACATGGTATGAGTATGTCTTATTTCAAAGCCAGCTGTCAGAAATTAATGGATAATGTAATACCATTTATAAAATGGTTTTAATTTGTAATATTTTTAGTATTTATTTGGCAGTTGATTCAGGTTGACTTCATCTATAACTTTCAGAATTATTTATGAGTACACTTTATTTATACACATTGGAATCATTTAAAAAGTAACTTTAGGGCAAAGAGCCTAAATATAGACTTCTCCAAAGGGGACTCCCAGAAGGCCAAGAAACAAATGCTCAAAGTAACTAATCATCAGAGAGATGCAAATTAAAAAATGACAATGCAGTATTACCTCACATCTGTCAGAATGGCTACCATCAACAAATTAATCAATGACAAGTGCTGGTAGCAATGCAGACTGGTGCAGCCATTATGAAAAATAGTATGGATTTTCCTCAAAAAATTAAAAATGGAACTCCCATTTCACCCAGTGATCCACTTCTAGGAATACATCCTAAGAAACCCAAACACCAATCAGAAAAAATATATGCACTCCTATGTTCATATCAGTACAATTTACAATAGCTAAGATTTGGAAACAGCCCAAGTGCCCATCAGTAGATGAGTAGATAAAAAAAGCCATGGTACATTTACACCATGAAATACTATGCAGCACTCACACACAAAAAGGATCTCTTACCCTTTGAGACAGCATGGAGGGACCTGGAGAATATCATGCTAAATGAAATAAGTCAGTCAGAGAAAGACAAATATACCATGATCTAACTCATAATTGGAATTTATTGAACAAAATAAACTATAAACAAAATAGATCCAGAGGCATAGAAACATGGAACAGACTGTCAAATTTCAGAGGGAAGGTGGGGGTGAGTGGGTTGAAAGATATCAACCAAAGAACTTATATGTATATATGCATAATCCATGGACACATACAATAGTGTTAAGGTTAAGGCCTGAGGCAGGGGTCAGGGGTGGGCTACAAGGGGTCAATGGGGGAAAAAGGGGACATATATAATTCTTTCAACAGTAATGATTTTTTAAAAAGGAACTATTAAGAGACTCAACTACATACCACACAATTTAGGGGAATTGGGAATATTTATATTATATTATGGCTAAAAGTAGGGAGAAACTACTCAGATTTGGGTTTTAAGTTCCAGAAATGACTAGCATTGTAGTTAAGAGACAAATTCTAAAGTCAGTATTCCATGCCCGGCCTTGGTGACTCATTGGTTGAGCATTGACCTATGAGCCAGGAGGTCGTGGTTCGATTTCTGGTTAGGAAACATGGTGGGGTTGCAGGCTTGATCCCTAGTGTGGGGCGTGCAGGAGGCAGCCGATCAATGATTCTCTCTCATCATTGATGTTTCTATCTCTCTCTCCATCTTTCTTCTCTAAAATCAATATGATATATTAAAATAATAAAATAATAATAATAATAATAATAATAATAATAATAATGATGATGTCAGAGTTCTTAGGTCTGAATTGTATGATCTTTAACATACAATTCACCTTTCCATGTCAATTTTATAATTAGTAAAAT